AAATACAAATTACTTGACACCAATTTTTTACCTGGACGCTATATTTTGCAAAAACGCTTTAAATTTCAGCCAAAGTGAAAAGGCATTCAAAAAAGAATTCACAGAAGTCTGTAGCTACCACTTATACTTGAAGCTCCACTTCAGGGCAGCTGGGATAGATTGAATTTAGAGCAGTATTTTTCATCCCCTGAGTGCCATTCAGGACTGCAGAAGCATCTTACACCTTTTAGAATAAGCAGGTAGTGGGACATGAGCTCTCTCACAATAGAACACGAAAAAAAACCCTCTTATCTAGGTTGTGTCTTTTACTGTTTACTCATAAATGGCCAGGAATGTGTGTAAGCAATGGGATGAGACACTTTGATAGTGATAGGAAGTTATTCAGGGTGCTAAGGATGAGGAACAACTATGAAGAATAGCAGAAGTCTGTTCTGAGATTGAAGTTTCTTGAAAAGGAAATGCCTAGTGCTTTTTATGCACTGTAGGATACATTTCCTGATTCCCAGTCATCAGTCCAGAGGGGTGAACTTTCCCATAAGTACTGTTATGTCTCTGCCAGCTCCAAGCAGATGCTTCAGGAACCTTATGTGACTAAAATGGAACTAAACATCCATGATTAAGCAAATAAATCACATTGTGAGTGACTGACAATGGAATATAATGTTAAGCGAGTTACATGGAACAACACAATACAATTTCACATATAAATGATGAGCTCCAAGTTCACTACCGTTACTCAGGAGTGATACCACAGGGTACTGCAGATAGCTTTGAGAACACATCAACCCAGTGCTCAAAAAAGGCAAAGCAAACCAAATGTTAAGAATTATCAGAAAAGAGGGCAAAGAGAAAAAATCAGTTTGCCACCCTTTAAATTCATTGTCCATTCATACCTTGAATACTCTATGCTGTTCTGATCTCACCATCTCAAAAGATTGTAGCAGACTTTGAAAAGACTCAGAGAAGTAAGATATATGGAATAGTTTCCATGTAAGAAATGAGGTAGGACTCTGCAGTGTATAAAATAAGTTGCTTAATTTAATAGAGGTCAAGAAAATCTTGAGTGGAATGGAGCAGGTGGATTGGTCTATTGTTCACCACAGTTTTCAGTAAAAGATGTAGGGAATATCAAACAGGAGGTAAGGAAAAAACCGAGTGGTTCCTCAGCAAGTGGTAGACCTGGAAAACTTGCCAACACAAATGAGGAAGAGGCTAAACTTGTACATGTATCCAGGGAAAGTGGACAACATATTGAAGGGAAATCTGTTTAAGGGTACTACGTGCCTAAAACTACGTCCGGTTCATGAGGTCTTCTAAGAGCAAATATTAGGAGCAAGCATTATATATGCCTCTCCTTTTCTTGTTCTTCCTCAGTATCTCATTTAGTCAATCTCTTTTGATTTATTGTAGTAGAAATGTCTTCTCTATTAAACTGAAATCAACAGCTACCAGTCCTCTTGATAACATTTCTCTTTTGTAATCTGCTAGTCTGACTAGGCAAGCCTTGATGGCTGTGGTACTCCCAGATAAGTGGTAGGGAGGCATAAGCGGAAATTCTGATGCAGGGAACTGCCTTTTTCATAGCCAGTAACAACACTTTAGGAAGGGAGGGAGAGAAAGGAGGGAGAGAAAATTTGGAAAGGGTGGAAGTTGTTGCCAAATCCATGATAATGTTTCTTTTGTAAAACAAATTTAAGTATAAAATATGATTCAAGCCAACTTCCTCACATTTTGTGGGTATACTGAGACAGTATCTTAATCTGTGAACATGTATGGGAAAAACGTACAACTCCCTTTGCACTGAAGGCTCCGGTGTGAAGGAGAAGGAGGTGTGAATGCCTACTGGAAAGTCTATGACTTTTAAACTATTAACAATTTCCTCATATTGAAAAAGGCATCTGGAAAGTAGGTGTCCCTGTTTAAATGAAATGGAGGGAAGCAGAGGATAAACAATTCTTGACCTACCTAAACCTGCTAGCTTGTTAGGCCCAAAGGAAGGTCTAAGGTATTCCAGAAGAAATAAGGTTGGAATTGCAGCTCTTCCAGGTTCAGGGCTATTCCTGGGCTCCTGCAGATATAAACTGCCCCTTTTGTGGAGCAGAGTCTAACCTGAGAATCTAGACACATTGCAGAGAGCAACAGAAGAGGCATAAATAGTGTTAGAACAAAATCTTTTGTATTTTCCTACACATAGTATCATTGCAGGACATGAGAAAAAACTCTAAATTCTTCTGTACATCACTATCCATTCAGTGAAGAGTTGGTAAGCACCAGCCTAAAATGTTTATTGTTTCTCAGGCTCAGCATTTTAAGAGGCTCTCAGTGGATCGCCACTCCAGCATTGTCGCTAAGTAGCAACATGTGGACGGTCAGTCAGCAGAAAATGACAAAGCTAACTTTCAAAATGATTTTTTTTAGTTGTCAACGACTCTCTCTCAGCCTTTAAATACTACCTCATATTTGTCCAGAGGAAAAAGAAAGAAAACAGAAATGTTTATTTTTAAATATTTAGAACTTCGAAGCATGAATGCAGAATCATGGAACTGTTCTTTTCTAAAGTCAGAATCTCTGCTGTAGGTGCACAGATGTGAACCGCTAATAATTCTATTCTATTTAGTCCTTATATAACACGCATTGTCACGGATGTATCTGCAGGAATAACAAGCACACACTAACTCAGGATACTTGTGAGTTACACAGTCAATGTTATTGTTCATAACAAAAGAAGCAGGTCCTTCAGTTCATGGAATACAAAGAGCTCTGGTTTAAAAAAAAAATCTTAAAAGGGAATTGCATTTTTTTAAAATGTGGTTTGTTGAGTTCGCAAAAAATCCATTACAGATTGCTATGCCATAGAAATTACAAAGGAAGCTCTTAAAACTGTGAGAAAGAAAGTTGAATAATCAAACTTTGTTTGGATGAGGAGAAGGGGAGGAGAACATTATGACAGTTACTATTCACCATGCTATTTTGAGTAGCTAGCACCAAACAAACACTCTTTGCAAGTCCTGAGAAAAGGAAACACATGCTAAGTGCAACACAGAGTGCATATTAACCAGATAGATAGAAAAATATGCATCAACATCAATTCTGCATTATCACATTATACGGACAGACCTTAAAAGCGAAGAATTGCATTCTTAGAGAGATAACAGATCATGTTAACTTTCCCAACGAATATTCTCCCCAAATGGATATAAGTAAGTAGCATATCTAAGCTGACTGATGCTCTGCATCCTCAAAGACTTTTAGCAAATTTGAACAATGGATAGAAGTGTTTCATTCTTGATTAAACTGTCATTGTGACTTTGCATATAAACAGAGAGGTCTAGGAGTCAAAATTTTTGCGGCCAATCTTCACAGTCATTCTAATCGTCTCTAGTATATAAAGTTATACCCCAGAGCACTTCTCACAACCTCGAGCATGCATTCTGCTACTGTTCACAACATTTCCAGTGACAGGAGTAGATTTCATACTTAGATTTCTAGGTCTCCACTTCAAGATTGTTAGATCTAAACAAATACTGCTGTTAAATAGCAGCTGTATGTTGTAACCCTCAGCGGCTAATTCAAATTCTTGTCCAGGACGAGTGGAAATTGTTGATGCAGAAAAGATTTTATGCTATGAGAATGAATTCAGACCATTGTTTCAAAGTGGTGTGAATCTACAAAGTTTACAAAGTACGTCTTAGATGAGCTACACCAAGAAATCAGTCTCTGGTGGCTTCTTCTGAGATTTTAGTAGCTTTTTTATTATATACATCATAAAAGCATTTTGGAATGTTCTTTACTATCCAAACCAAAGCTTTTTAAAGTTTTCAATGTTGCCACAGGGACTTGTCTCTACCAATAACTAGATAGGGACTGGATTTTTTTAACAGCAAAAAATAAGGAATCAGAAATCTCAGCAACTGCACTTCTTGGGGTAACATTCATATAAAGCTGAAGTTTAAAATATCAGTCTCATTTTTAATAAATTCCTGTGACTGTTTTTTGACAAAAGTGGGAAGGCAATAGTACGTACTGCAAGAATTTGGTGACTTATCAGGGATATATCCGGAAGCCATTGCCTATATCTTTCCTGACTGTCTTACGTGCAAAGTACAGTGCAATTTCTTGGGTTTGATGTAGTTTCATCAATGTTATTTCCCAATGTCTGAGCAGTGCTTAATGATATCCTAAAGGAGAAAGCTACTCATTAGCAGCAGTAACAAAGCGAAGCAGCTCACATAAATTAATGATCCATTCTCCCTGTACTCCTTGACATTGGGAAATATTAACTGTGTTTTATCGATCAGAAAGACGGAGAAGTGAGATAAAATGACTTGCCACAGCCACGGAGGAAATTTGTAGTAGGCCCAAAAATAAAATACATATCCTAATTTCTGCTCTGGGGGCTTAAATTTCAATAGCTCTGTTGGTAAATGTGGAAGGAGGGAAGTGATTCGTCCTCTCTATCAGGAAGAACATCTCCTTCACCATTTGTGTCCAAGCAAATATTAATAAGGAAAAGTACCTGTGCCTTCAGGAGCAGTTCTTGCCTTGGATCCATTGGAATCTATCCTCATCAGAACTATAATCTTTGGTAAAATCTTTCAGAGTCTTATTTCTCTTGTGCACTAACTGAGGATGGTGCATACAATAGCACCAAAGCCAGCACCTCATCACCAGGGAGGATGTACACGCTGCTTGAATAGTAGCTCTCAGTAGGCATTCCCACTAACTAAAAACCATTAGAGCAGACTGTGCACATGGGCTCTATCTTACTTCTTAGTCCTGGCCTTTAGAAACACAATGCAATATATTTTATAAATAACTATTGACATATAAATCTAACTGAATTAAACAGGATACTATTTAACTAAACATGCCTGCAGGTTTTAATGTCTCTTTAGCAAGAGATATGTTCCCTTTTTGAAGGAGGGACAGAGAAATCAGACAAATTAGATAAAGCAATGCTGCTGTTTATTCTTTCCAGTTCACCTGTGATAAGAACGTACCTGCAGTAGGCAATGCTGTGGGCTCTGCTGGTAAAAACTCCTGGGATGGTAAGCACTCCCTGGATAAGGTGAGGTCATCAAGTGCTATGTTACCTGTGGGACCTTTTCCAACTGTCCCTTCAAAGATAACTTGGAAATCTTCATCTCCATCCAGGGTCAATGCCTTGCCCTGCCAGAAATTTCCCTGGTTTCCTGTGAGACTTAGGAGGATTTTTTCTTTTTCTGCTATAGTCCTCTGGTAGACGATCAATGATCCAATATGAACTCCATACATATAGTAATAGAAAAGTATCTGTAAGCAAGAGTAAGCAAGAACAACAGCATCAAGTATACAATGGGTGATTTCAAACACATTCTATCATCCTAAATTTTAAATGGACCATCATTATTAGCTTTTGGAAGAGCTCTAACTTTGCTGATTCAAACACAATTTAATTCAAACACACACAAAAAAGACTTACCACTGCAAATTTTTGAACTACCCCATGAACTAAAAGATACTTGAAAGCCAACACTGCAATACTGGGACAGTTGATTTTGCATCTCTTTTGAATAACTCTTGTACATAAACGTGAAAGAAAGAAAATACTTGACGAAAAACAGGGAAAGGGAGCAGTGCCATTTATGATATGGGAAGTAACTTCAGTTTACCAACTGTTACATTTTTCTGGCTATAAAAGTGATTGTAACACATTATGGAGTGCCTAATTACAAGATAATCATCTTTAATCTACCATAAGAACTTCTAAACAGGTCATGGGAATACAAAACAGAAGACAAATACAAAGTGTGAGGTCCCTGGATCAGAAAGTAGGATCAAGTACATACAGAAGATTAAAAAAACATGGTAAAGATTAGTCACCATTAATTGCTTCTGTAAGCCATTTGCAATTCAAGAGGACAGGAAGAACAAAGGGATAGTATTATATTGATCACATACAACTATCCCTTTGTTCTTCCTGATCTAGTTCAATATCCTTCTTCGGACAAAGATCAGCATATTTCCAAGAATGATGTAAGACCCTGAAATAAAGCAATTCATGCTATAATATGCAGGAACATGTCTACAGCTCAAATTTCTTCCTAGTCTCACTCATGGCACAAGCCCCGAAGAAGGAAGATTCTGTCTTATTTATTACAGCTATAAAAACGTAATAGCGAATATTGTGTTACTCATGTAAAAGTAAAATCATGTTCCTTTGTGTTACCTTGTGCTATGGGATTCCATAAGCTTCTGCAGTCTTTTGTATTGTGTAAATATACTATTTTATAAGGAAAAAAAAAAAGCCCACATTGATATTTAATCGATTTTCTCTAATTATCGAACAGAAAAGCCAGCAGAGGCTTTGAGTTACAATTCTTTTGAAAGTTTTATTATATACACTTTCAGAAGGTCTCCTGTGCAATGAAGTAGTAAAATTTAATTTTTATCAGCCAGTGTTCGTATGCAAATACTTCTATTCATCTGCTCATTTCTTATCCTGTGATTACTCTTTTTCCCTTAAAATCCTTCTTTAAAAAGATTCTCTATTTTATACATATATGTGTATCGTTAAATTATATAATGCTTTTCATATTTTTAGGATTAGTCTCTATTCTCTATATTACTTATTCTCTATAATACTTACTATATAGTCTCTATTTTACTACTGCTAAACTCTGGTTCATTTTTTGATCAATAGTATATTTCGAATAGATATTTTCATAGAGCCATCCACCACACTGCTCCTGATTAGTGGTTTTGAAAAGAGCTGTAGCCAAACTGTTTTGTATGTTTATCTTTTCTTTTATGACCATTGAATTCATCTGGTTTTTGTTGCTGGTTTTTTTCCATACTACTTTTAAGGCTTCACATTTATTTGCAGTACCCTGGTCTCAACTACACTGGATGATTTTGTATGTAGGAGTCAACATACTGGTCTTCTGTTCAATCACACCCTTTCTGGGTATATTATACACTGGTAATGTCAGTCCTGAAAACAATTATGCACAAATTTAGTTTTTAGCATGTACCCAAGTCCTTTTAGGACTGACTGGGGCCCTATGCATATGATCTGTGCTTGAACGAGGCTTCTGTTACCACACATGTGAACAAGTCAACCCCACATTCAATTCGCTTTCAATGAGAACCTAGACAAGCTCTCTAATCTTAGATTTCCAGGGTTCCCAGAATGTCGCCATCATCACTTGGCTGCTTAATCTTTTCAGGTCTCTCTTGAAGAATATGTCCTAGATTTTTGAAATTAAAAAAAAAATATTATAACTACCGGCTCCTTATTTTGTAACTAATTTTCTGATACTGAAATAAACCCAACAAGGTTACAATGCAAGAAAACACAAGAAATACAATACTTGTAAACAAAAAACAACAAAAAACACTCTACATAAATCCTCTAAGGGAATGCTGATTTTAGTGACATATTTCGTATTTTTGATTACAACTCTTTGGCTTCATTCTTAAATTCTTTCAGAATCCTCAATGTGTACCATCTGCTCTTGGTTACTTACTGCAATTTAAATTTAGACTTTGTTCCAACACCACCTCTTTTGGCTCTGCAGTCCCTAAGAATGTTTAATCTTCATCAGTTCTAAGGAGCAGCAGTCAAAGTATTATCTCTTCATAATGTCCTGCAGTGAACACTAATCCAAAGGGGATATTTAAGTTTCTCTGCAAGGTTAACTTTCTCTGACATTTCCAGGTAATATAATTATATATCACTGACAGTTTGACTCTGAATTCTCCCTTTTGTTTCATGTATTTATTTTGGCATAGTCTCTCTTTCTTTCTGTTTGTAGTATTTCCCTTGCCTTTCTATTCTTTTTGAAGATGTAGTTTGATTTGCAAAAGCCTTGTATACAAATGATCCTGTTTCCTCATGTACCTCCCTTTATACTTTCTGATGTATATTTGTTTTCTCTGCATAAAAAATCTTCCCACTGAAGTCAATAAGTATTTTTCAATGACCTAAATGGGCCTAAGATTCCTATCTTTAAGTCTGCTATAGTATAGGATATAACATCTGCTTCTCTAATAAATACTAGGAAATAATAAAATCAAGTTGAAGTTCTGAATCTTGAAACGTATTTTTTTCATTCATACAATCTCCTTTACTGGCAAGTCTACTTCCCTTGCTCCATTTTGTAAAGGAAGTTTCAGAACTGGTTATAACTTTTGAAAACTACTATCAAATGTCATAAATATGACTCACTGTTGCAGGCTTTATTATGGATGTAGAACCTTTGACAATGGAACATATAAACACCCCTCGATATAGGAAATTCCCATTTTTTTATAATTGTATTTAGATACGAAAAAGTAAGCTTTTCTTACAGTTATGCTTCAAGCATTTTATTGGATATAATGTGTGATACTTAATAAACTTTCAGATATGAACTTTTCATTTAGTTATTCCAGATTTTTTGGGGTATGTGTTTTATTCATTGCAGATAGAAGTTAAACAGTGGAACTGTTATTTTTAAAGCATAAAAACAGAAAAAGTTGGGAAAGAGATGTTTTAAAATATGGGGTGAATGAAAAAAGCAAAAGTCTCCAAGCTAAAGCAAGTAGAATTTTCCTTGGTTTTTTTTTAATACATTAAGGGATTTAGAAAATTAACTTAGAAAACATGAACTCATGGCTCAAATTGTGAGATTATTTCATAATGGCTGGATTAATTTTTGCCCTTGGCAAATTGAAATTATTTGTGTGTTATTTATATTACAAAATTAGACCATTTCTGTTTAACATTTCCTGAATTCCTCATCTATAAAGGGGTTAGGAATTGTCAAAAGGCTAGAAGAATTTTAATCAAATAACCTTAATAGAAATCTCAAACCAATCAGAACTCTTACCGAGTTTCAGACAGTATTACTCTTAACAGTATTTCATTTGCCTCATAAATAGTGAATATGAGATAAATGGACCTAGAGGTAAAAGACTGGATGTTTTCAGTGTAGATGTCATCTGCATATGCAATAAATCTGTTTAGGACTATTTCAGGCTAAGGTAGCCTTCAGTCTGATGAGCGCTTTGCTATGATCATGTAATTGGTTCAGTTCAAAGGCTTTTTAAAAAATGAATCCTATTCATCAAGATTAATCGCTTGAGAGATCCAGTTACTACAGCAAGATTCAGTAGCTGACTAACTGTAAACTCGCAAAATAAGACTCCTGTGCACAGAAATCTAATATAAAAGGATTAAATATCCTGTTTTACAGGCATAAACTCAATAAAATTTTATATCTTCTATAAAAATAAAGACATGAGTATTGTCTCTCAAGAAAGTTATGCGATGAGTATCTCCCACAAATGGATAGGCTAAAAATTCCAACCATCCTTAGTAGTGAAGGTGCTCCAAACGCTGGAGTGCAAAGTGGCCATTATATCGTCAGAACATGAAAGAGCCGTTGATCTAAAGTACAGGTAACTGCATAAAATTAGATAGCTAATAAACATTCCTGTTACCCTATCAGACAGATAGATCTTCATGTGTTAATTGCAAAATATTGATTTTCTGTGTTTAAATTTATGTATACAAATAATGCTGCCTGAATGCTATTTTTACTCACAGTAGTCATGATATTCTTTACCCTCGATTCCAGGGCAACATACACCTTAAACAGCTCTTCATGTCTTCACATTTCCTTTCAACTACCCTATTAATTCCTCATTTCAATTCCAGTGCTGAAAAAACTTTACATTGTAATTCCTTACCTCTTCTTTAGGTTTTTTTACCCCCTTAGTTCTTCAGTTTTAGAAACTGCTTCCCAACTTCACCCTGAAAATGCTGCACCTGAATCTCACAAGGTACTTAATTACCTATACAAATAATTCTTTTTCTCTAGTGGTTGGCAGAAAGATGCATATTTTCTTATGATTTCAAAGTGGAAATAAAATCAGGCCCTGATACTTCTACAACCTGCTTGTTTTTCTCAAAAAATCTCCATGATTATCTTTATCTGTCTTAGGAGCATTACCTTGGTGCAATCTAGAAACCAAAGTACCATACCCCTATGTACCTTGCAGTTTTTACTCCTCCTGCTTAGCACAGGACTAGAAATCCTGGCTTTCTGTCCTGGCAACTGAAGAAATGAACTCTTTATAAAAATGTAGTGTCCAGATGACTCTTGCAAGGTATGATCACCAGCTGGTCCAGTGCCCATTTTTGGAGTACTGCTAGTTCTGAGGTTCCAGTTAAAGTCATCATTTTCATCCTGCTTCCAGTCACAAAGATCGAACTCAAAATCACAGCGCCCAATAGATGTGCCTGAAAGACATTTGCACGCACAAAGAGAGATTTTTTTTCAAAAATTTAGTTATGCAGAATGAACTATAACCTAGCACACAAACTGTCCATGAAAAAAATGCTTCCACAGAAAAAACACCTGTGCAATTTATTAAACAGAGCATTTTTAATGTTCTAGGATATAATAATGGGATAGGATAAAACTGTGTATATACGAGGTAGGTGTCTACACTCCCATTATAGTCAACAGAGTTCTAGGAAGAGAAGTAACCTCTTTTTGAATCTATTTTATAGCGAGTTGACTCTCTCTTTAGACTCTTAGAGGTAGAGGCCAATTGGTGACCTATCAGGCTACCTAGGGAATCTAAGACATTGGCAGAAAATCAGCCTGTTTTTGGAGAAGCAGTTTAAGGCTATCCCCAGAGTGCTGAAAGGGATAATAAATAGTTAGGGAACAGAATCCCACCCAAATGACCGTATTGAGCACTGCAGAGTCAGAGCCTGCATGCAAACACAAACAGCTAATACCCAAATGTAGGTGTGATAACTTTGAGCTGGATCTAAATGTGGTTAGTTTACTTTTGTTAAAAAAACCTCTTAATAATTAGATTTTTCTGATAGAATCATTGACTCCTCAGTAACCTCTTGTTTAAACTAACTTTTTTCTAAGTGTTTGCTTCCTAAAGAATTCACACGCACATTTTATTAGCCAATATGCAAACACAGATGATTATCTGCACTTCTCAAATTTAATGCCTAGGGAAAAAAGAAAGCTGACTTAATTGGTTGATTTTATATGACATATATAGCTATTTTCCAAAGTAGAAAGTCAAAACAGCCAGCATGGTAAGTCAACTCTGCACATAATTAAGGTTAAGACAATTACACTACTACAAAAGTTTAAGTTACATATTTTTGTTCCCTGTATGCATCTATAACCTCATTATAACGATTACCAAGCAAACCTAAACTTGCTGAAATAAGCTGGAGTCTTGCCAGAGACTTCAAGAGACTTTCAGCTGTGCCCTGAATATTTTTACTATTATGGCTGGAAAGGAAAGTGCTTTGAAGATAAACCTGGAAACTGAATGGGTCATTTGGTCTGACAATGTAAAAAATGACAAAAGCTTTCTCCTAAAATATAAACAAAACCTGAGCCTCTTCTGGGGTCTGATAAAGTTCAGCAAGTTAAAAGTAGCTTTATTTAATTGGCAAATGGTCAGAAGTCTCAGTAATGAAGCCAAGAAGTTAACATCCATGGTGTCCACACACGGACCAAAACAATACAGCTACCTCTAAAATCTGAGGCTGGAATCAGATAAAAGCTTTCTTTCTTAGATTTTAACTTGTGGAGGTCACGTGGCTGAAAAAGAAGCTAGAAACTTTATCTTTAAAATATGGACTATTAAGCAAAAATTTCCTCACTATTTTCTAAATTAGTCTGCAAATATGGTACTATCATCTTAAATAAAAAAATAAGTCCCTGATGCCCTGCCACTTATTCAAAACATAATTATAGTTTACCTTACCTGAATGTAACTGCCTATCAAACTCATAAATCCTCATCTTTTACCATGTGATCATTTAGTCCCTTCATATTTCAGGATTATAATTAAAGAAATTCCTTCAACTACTTAACAAATTTCATCTCTAGTCAATAAAAAAACTCATGCATACAACTAACTTTTATTTTAAAGACGTTATTTTCTAGACATGTTCCTTAAGGTACATAAGCATTTAATATCCCTGCTAATGCTTTACATATTGTGTGAATTATTTAATCTAAATGTAGATGTCCCTGTAGGATTTCTCTGTAGAGAAAAAAAGGCATATATACAAGACAATTTATCCGATTAACTTAAACAAATAACTTTAAATGATATGAACCTCAGCCTGGAAGCGAGCCTTTACTTTGAAGAAAAAAGACATCTCAGGTAGCCTGCTTAGAAACCTAAGTTACAGCAGAGGACTTTACACCTGTGTGTTAAACCTTGGGTAGCAGACACGTCTACGAGAAACTGTGAACTCTGAGTAATGAAGTGAAAAAGCAAAGCTAATCGTTTTGTCTGTAAAGCGGTGACACATGGGTAATGAATTAGTCTATTAGATGACTTTAATAATTTAAGAAAATCTTAATAGTAGATATATGATTTGCATTATACTGATCACAAAAGACCTAATGAATCTTTGTAACCAAACAAGCAATCAAATGGAGCAAAATTTAAACTATTTTAAGTTATACCCTTTGTATTTGCACAATTTGAAAATTATAATTTCAGTCTACAACTGGGGAAATGAACTCTGAACTCTGGAGTTTCCTGTTAGCTGGCAAAATTAATGAGGAAGATGCTTTTGAGAACTGCAGCTGGTACATGAAAGCTCTATGCTACTTTTTTTGCCAGTTTCATAATGTAAAATAATGCTTTGGAAACTCTAGGTTACTAAGTAATGTTATTTTAAAGACATTATTAAGTAATGTTATTTTCTGTATTATTTTCATAATACAGAAAGAAAGAAACTGAAAATCAGATGACAAAGTCTAATAATAATGACTTGATAATATGCTGTGTTCCTTTATACAAATTCCCTTTAAACAACATGAAAATGAATAATCTCCTCCTTGAGACAAGGCAGAAGGTTCTCTTCTCTCACCAGTGCATCTTATCCCAGAAGCTGTATCTAGAGTTTTACATGAATTTCCTCCACTCCCTATCGAGTTATTTCACATAGAAATAGGCATTTCATGCTTTTGATGCTTCTCTTCTCCCTTGTGTATGACCTAGAAGCTTGAGATGCTACATGCGCATGAACTGGAAGAACTTTTCTTCTCTGATGGACACATAACACAAGGTCACTATGACCCTTTGTAATTGGTTGAATAAATTAATATAAGCACTCTTTACCTAATGTAAAATCTATTTTACGTATTTTGAAATAAACACTGTTCTGAATGAAACTATCCAAGAGCAGCAAGCTGGAACTCATACATCTCAGGGTAATAAAAGCTATATTTATGTGAACAAGCAGTACAAAGTTATAGGAGCATATCTGTACAGCAAAAGGCCTAGCACTGAAGAAATTGTGGCATGCCGGATAGGGTGGTTAGGTGGATATCTTCAGATAACTTCTAGACTGATCTTGTGGGATGAACAACCATTAGTGGTTAAACTGCTTTAGATGCCCTCCTTGAGCTCATCTTTCAATTTATTTTCTAGTGAAAGGAAACTAGTTCATCGTATGGTAAATAAAAACAGCTGAGAGATTCACTTCAGAAGCACACTGGTGAGGTAAACGAAACATTAATCAGGTGCAGACAAAACCAAACATCTCACAAGTGCAGCCACCTGCACTGGCACTCATTTCAGTCTGGAAAATCACTACTGCCTACAGCCTTTTTCACAAACTTTAATTTCTTAGATCTCATAAAACACCATTTCTGCTTCAGGATGGCATGCACATCTCAGTCCAACCAGAGCTGCTTCAGAGGTCCTGCTGTCATGCACTAGTATCCTCAAACTGCATAAGATGGACTCTGGCAGTTCGAGACAATGCTGAAGCAGTGCTACCACCCATTACTTTTCCAGCATCATTGTGGATATTTTTGTTCTCATGCACTTATAGTACTAGTGATGTTACAACATTTAAAGAAAACTCCAAACCTGAATCACTCATTCAGTAGCAGTCATGGAATAATTCCTAAACACTGGACTCCTTCTCAGTGTATCTGTTAAAATGTGTTCTTGACTTACGTTACAGCACTGAAGTCCAAGGTCACACATCTAACTAAAAACAGCTCTCTACAAAGGAAATAAAAGCAAGGCACAGATCTCTCAGTAGTAATTAACAGCTTTAGGAGGTGCAGTTCATATCTCAGCAGCCTCAGCTCTGCCTAGATGTTGTGAATTACACTTAGTGAGATCATCTTGTGATATAGTCCTACTAATATGCTGTAACAGGTATATTGCAAAGATTAGGGACTAGATTCTTTTAACCTAGCGCAAAAGGATTTCAATAACAAAGTTATGATTGCTCTGTGCGAGTAGGAAACAACAGCATCTACAGCTAGAGCTAGTGGTCCATGAAGGTCTACTGCTAAAACCTACTTTGGAGATATCTTGAAACTGCAGTTCTCATGTCTTTTATACACAATTGCTGTGCTTGGCCAAAACTGCCTGTTTCTGCTTTGATCTATCATGCTTTGGCCTGCTAAAGGCTTCCTCAGATTTCTAAGGTTGAGGATTTCAAGCCAAGGTTCTTTGCTTCAGCAGCAGTAAAACAACTCTGCTCTGATGGCTGCATGGAATGAAAAAATATCACAAAGAGCGGAAAGTTGTGCATCTCACAGTTAGGTTCTCTTTGAAAGAAGACTGTCTTATGAAGAACTGTGAAAACAGCGTTAACTTTTTTCTGTGTTAATTAGAACACAAGGCTTACATTCAGAAAGCTAGGAAAATGCCTCCTAGCTGAGAAACTGGCTTTGGGACACTCCTGGATTATGACCTGAACATAAAATCTTTTTGACTATCAAAAGGGCTGAATAGAACAAATGTAGCATAAAACTAAACACTGTGATGACAATGGAACCCATCTTCTTTGTAATCATAAATATTTATAGGAACTGCAACATCAAAGTTAAAATTCTTGTTGTTTTCCTTTTAAGTTTGCATTTCAAAACGATAGAAATTTTCTTTCTTCTAAACCACATCAGCAGTTAGTCCAAACCCATCAACCCCAAACCTGAAGCTTGGCTGAAATCTCATCATCAGTTATGGAACTAGAAACGTTGGGTTAACATAGCAAAATTCATACAAGCGTTTTCCTGTCTTAAGCTCCTGGAGAACTGACATAGTGATTGAAAAGAAAACAGCTTTATGATCATGAATTTTTTTTCACAAGTCTTTCTCTTTGCCACTAAGCCACTGATCCTGACTATTTTATAGTCCTTATTCTGGACTGAGACTGCAGGAGTAATCATTCTGCTTTAATATTTACACAGAGACATTCATGGAGAAGCCATGTAGTAAAACAACAGGATAATCATGCTCAAATCTAATCTTATAAAGCCCCTATCTCACTGATAACAAATTAACAATTTCCCCCCTGCAAGGAAAACCTACAGTATTGCAAATGTGTGTAGCCACCAGCAATAAGGGATGATTTATTTTTATGTCTTAAAAATAGAAACAAAGTTAGCCAGATTCATAATTTATTCTGCTAAAACACATGCACAGAACTGGAAATGTAAACACATATTTTCTATGTTATTATTTTTTGGACCCTCTTCTCTTTCAAAAAGCAATCTGAAGTGAATACATAGATAATAGTCTTAATTCAAAGCAACAGAAGGAGTCAATAATATATTGGCATTATATGCCAGCAATATATTTATATAGGCATTTCCACAGCTCTTCCACCAAATTTACAAAGGGGAATACTCCCTGAAGAAGTATTTTTCAGGTATTTTCTCATCTTGTTTATCTTAACCTGATAATCAAATTTTAAAATATAAGAAATGAATATAAAAAGTTGTATATTAACAGAAATTTCCTAAGAGCAGGAGTGAGCTGCTGAATTATTTATTGTGCACCAAAGATTAGATCTGTCTACAAGGTCCTCCAGCTTTCTTTAAAGGAAAATTAAATTGTGGATTCATACATCAAGATTTAAAGGAGCAATGTGGCCACAATTTATGCATTTTTAAATTATCTTTTTAAAGACAATTTTATGGAAAACAGGAGATGATTTCTCCTGCACTTATCTACAACCTAAAAAAAAGTAATCTGTTAATGTCTTTAAAGGGAGTGAAAAGAGGTCAGGGACCACTGACAGCAGGGAAGTCACCCTAAGATCTCTCACAGAGATAATGTCTTTGACCAGAAAAGGAATAGTAGGAAATTCAAGGAAAAGTGGAAAACATGCTTATTCATGAAGTTATAATTAACAATTTTCCTGTGTAGGAACGGGGAAATAGTTAGAGAATGAAAAGGAACTGATGGAAATATTTTCATATTTTATATAAAGTACACTATACACAAAATAGAAGAAAAAATGGATTACCATTTTTGCAAAAAGGAATGTTTTCAGCAAGTGCTATAATATTTATTTCTACCTTACTAAATAGATAATGCAGACATACCACCAATAAAAGAAACCTAAAGCTCTCCAGTATGTTGTGGACATTTAAAGCAGCATACCTATTTCAAGAGAGTTGTGATCAGTGGCACCAAGTCTAGTTGGAGGCCTGTAGCTAGTGGGACACCCTGGGGTCAGTCCTGGGTCCAATACTATTGAACTTATTCATCAGTGACCTGGATGAAGGCACAGAGTGCACCCTCAGCAAGTTTGCTGATGATACAAAACTAGGGGGAGCGGCTGATACACCAGAGGGCTGTGCTGCTGTTCAGAGAGACCTGGACAGGCTGGAGAGCTGGGCAGAGAGGAACCTCATGAAGTTCAACAAAGGCAAGTGCAGAGTCCTGCACCTAGGGAGGAATAACCCCATGGAGCAGTACAGGCTGGGGGCTGACCTGCTGGAAAGGACCTGGGACAACAGTTGTCCATGAGCCAGCAATGTGCCCTTGTGGCCAAGAAGGCCAAGGGTCTCCTGGGGTGCATGAGGCAGAGTGTTGCCAGCAGGTGGAGGGAGGTGATCCTCCCCCTCTACTCAGCCCTGGCGAGGCCTCCCCTGGAGTACTGTGTCCAATTCTGGGCTCCCCAGTACAACAGAGACATGGCGCTACTGGAGAGAGTCCAGCAGAGGTCTACAAAGATGATGAGGGGACTGGAGGATGTCTCCTATGAGGAAAGGCTGCGAGAGCTGGGCCTGTTCAGCCTGGAGGAGAAAAGATTGAGAGGGGATCTCATTACGTGTATAAGTATCTGAAGGGAGGATGTCAACAGGATGGGGCCAGGCTCTTCGCAGTGGTGCCCAGCAACAGGACAAGAGGCAGCAGGCACAAACGGAAACACAGGAAGTTCCATCTGAACATGAGGAAAAACTTCTTTACCGTGAGGGTGACTGAGCCCTGGAACAGGTCACCCAGCGAGGTAGTGGAGTCTCCTTCGCTGCAGATATTCAAAACCCACCTGGACGTGATCCTGGGAAATGTGCTCTAGATGACCCTGCTTGAGCAGGGGGGTTTGACTAGATGATCTCCAGAGGTTCCTTCCAACCTCAACCATTTTGTGATTCTGAGCAGTAGAAGTTTTACCCTGTCCTTTTAAGACTCCATACTACTGTGTTGTAAATCTCCCTGTTAAGATCTAGTCAGGAATATTCCACCCAATTTTTTACTTAAAAGCAATGTGTAAGAGAGCACCTTGCACTGGAAAACTTTGCTTATGGGACTGTTTCATTTCTTCACTCTTCCAATGGGGAATCAGAATGAAATACTTAATTTAGAGATTGCAACACTAAATTCGGACATCCTATTTGAATCATTTTATTCATAACGCTTCAGGCTCTATCTGACTGATGGTGTCTCATGGGAAATAGGCAAATCAGGGAATCCAAATTCAGAAAGAAAGGTTTTAATATTTCAGGAAATAAATTACAAAATATTAGAATCTTTTTCAACAAAGTAATTCCAACTTGATACACTCTTCATTTCTAGTAGCAGATCAGCACTGGTCCCCAAATAGCTAAATGATATACCTGGTGTGGAAGTCACCAAGAGATTAGTTAACAGGAGTGCCAGCAAAAAAGGATAGTCTCTTTGCTGTGTTGTATCAGCACATCATCTTTGCTTCATAGATTTGTATTCACTGAGAATTTGATGAACTGTGTTCATAAGCTCAATAAAAATGAGGCAGCTATCCATATTGTACCAAACAATTCAGATTTGGTTGTATGAGCACTTCCAAAGATTTTACTATAAAAAGGAAAGTGTTAGCAATACCTAAACAATATTGTGATCCATTTTTTCAGAGAAGCATCCATTTGATATAAAACATCTTGTGCTACATATGCTACTTCTTGTTCTCTCTTGTAAAAACCCAAGTTGTGCCATATTCAAATTAAAATGATTCGCTAAGAGACTTGACAGCCCTTAAATATCAAAGGAGGTACATTCCTCATATCCCAAAGGTATTAAGGTATTTCACTCTCAATATACTCTCTTCATATGGAAAGCAGGAGGTACTTTTTCTGTTTTTAAAGACAGCTGTTTTCTGAATTATTTTAAGAAATTCAACTAACAGCACTTTTTACTTTCAATCATATGATTTCATATTAAATAATACTAATTTAAAATCTCTAAAAGCCAAGGAATATAATTAAATGTTTGCTTTCTTAGCTGATGAGCTGCAACAGTATTCAGGCCTTAACAATTCACAGCAGGCACAGTTATTTATGATAACTACCACACTTACTGCAAATGTTAGGGCTCTCATCTGAGTTATCTGCGCAGTCATTTACAAAATCACACAGGTTATCCTTTGGGGTGCAGTACTTGTTGGCACAGGTGAATTCATCTAATGTGCAAGGTCTGTCTGGGATGAGCAAAGGGGAACAATCTTCAAAGGTAATATCATCCACTGCCACATCTCCCATGTAACTGACACCACGTATTGCCCTGAAAACAACCTAATAAAAATCACAGAGATATTTCAGTAAAGCACTGATAGATATATAAAAACTTATATATACAAAATGAATAGAACAGAGACTATGATGGTTCTTTCAAGTCCTGCAATATGGAGCCACCAGTCCTTACTCCCAGAGTAAGGGCCTATCTAAGCATGTATCACTGCTTGTACAGATCTGTCACTATATTGAAGGACCACCATCTAACATCAAGCAAGTACAGTAAAGAGAAAGAAAGTGACTAACACAAACAGATACAAGTTCCTGCTCTTCTTGAATTAATAGCAAGAGTTCCACTTACATGTGCAAAGTACGTATGAAAAATATTAGTCTGAGTCATCCACGAATGTAACAAGAATGTTAAAGCCTCATTAAAAGCCATCCTAGACAGATGACTGCATTCTCTTTAGCTTATCTCACTATTTTCTCTAATAATGTTGTATTACAAGCTACTGCAATTTTTAGCCAACCAGAATCAGTCACCTTTATGTATCAGATAATGTAACTCATTTTAAAATATGTTCCAAGATGTCTCTTTTCTAGAAGGCCACAACAAAGTATGGTATACCCACGATTAAGTGGCACTAAGAGGCGTAGGAGTCAGCTCCTATTTTGAAGATAGCATGGTGCGCAAGACTCCTTTTTCATAAAACAAATATAATTCTACTACACACTCAGGAGAAGGAATTGGAATAGTTCTAACCTGAGTTCGATTCAAGGATAGAGAGGATTCTCTGTCTTAAAAAGGGATATCATAATCTGATCAGAAATGTCTCATTCCCCTTCAAAGATTTGCCTCCAACCCAGACTGAAGAAGACCAAGAACATGAGTTTCTTTACTGAATATGCAGAAGAGGAGATACAGTATGTGTATGGGGCAAAAGAAAAATGAGAAGGGGAAAAATGCAGAAGACAAAAGTACTTAAAGCCAGCTGACTGACTATAAAGCACATAAAATAAGAATATACACACCTGAAAACTTGAACGAACGCCTAAGAACACTTCTGCTCTGTTCCACTGTGTACCTTGGCTGCCACTCTGAGTCCACAGTTTAGAAGTCATGTTACCAGTTTTACTGAATACCTGAAAAGGAGATAACTCTCGATCACAAAAAAGTATTTCCAATGCTAATTCACCTCAGATTCATTAAGATTAAACAATTTTGCTTCAGGTCTCTGACAGAAGTTACTCCTATATCACCATTTAATATCAAATGCAAAAGGATTGACAGTGTAAATCAATATTTTAAGAAAATTCTTCTTCAGGTTTTTCTGATTTCCTCAGGAGTGTACGCTCAGCTCAGGGCCTTCTCTGGAGTGATTTATCCCGTTAAATTATCTACAGTAAAAAATAGCTAGCCATAAATAAAAATTTCTCAGCAAAAGGACAGGATCCATTTGTAAAGCACAGAAAATAGCACAAAAAATCAAACTAATAAATAATATAATAGTACATGCCTCTATTAGATTGTATTAGATTGCACCATTACGGTTCCAGGATATATTTAATATTCTGATTCTACATGAAACAACCTTTTTTTTTCCCCCTACAAATAAAAACCTGTTCTTTCCATCCATATGCCAAACTTCATCTGTTTGAACAATGGAAGACTCATTAATTTCTTAACCCCAGTGAACAGTCATTGAGCTGGGTAAAGCTGACACTTTTCCACATGAGCACAAAGCCCTAAATATATTTTTCTCTAACCTCCAGGGCCATCCAAATTCAACTGAGCTAACAATAATGACAAGAGGGAAGTTTGATGAAGTGTGTCAAGTTGTGTCTCCAGCTAGTGCTCATAGAGCTAAAAATCACTTCACCAGTTGCCTGAACCACCTTTGCTTTCAAGGATTTATTGCTACTCTGTGTAATCTTCTTAGGGTGGCCCAGACGTTTTTCATCTTAATGAAAAAAATGGCATTTTTTGGAAAATTTATGCAGTCCCATGAGTGTATATGGTACTGTACAGCACGTAACTTCTGCCAGGCAAAGAGCATATCCTCCCACTGAAGCGCTTTCAATCCAGAGGAACAAAAGAAGTAGGTGTAATATATTAAATAGAACAGGAAAACAAAGTGATATCTGGCTTTGTAGACAAGAAAGAAGTTGTTCAAGGAAGCCATGAATTTTAAAGAAAATAATAGAAAAAAATAGGGATTATGGACATTATTGGAGAGAATAAGGTGTGCTGAAAAAGAAAAAAAAGTCTCTTACACTCATATATACACTGTATATGAATATGAATATAGCTATAAATGTGTTGTGACTATGTGGGGATATAGACACATACAAATACACACTTTTATATACAATGTAGATTACTTACTAAGGTTTACACCTTAAATCAAAGTCCTTCATCAGAAATTCAGATTTGCTATTATATCATGCTAAAGGTTAAAATTTTAGAGCTAAATATGCCCATAAATTTATGTCCTATTAAAATCCAAGGCTTCCCTGTACCCTAAGGCACTTGGAGGCCCTATGTATTTTGATTACATTGTAAGTTACTGAAAAAAATAGCTACTCTGATTGAGCATCTCTACTGTGGTGGCGTTATCCAGGCCAAGTCAGACAGCAGAAACCAGAAATGGTCCAAGAAATATTCATGGGGGTTGCACAGTAAGGCAGCAACTACTCAGTGTTTAAGAAAGTTATAGAAACACAGCAAGGCAACCATTCGGGCAAACAGCAGAATGGAGAGTCTTGGACATGTCCTATATGATATTTTATGGATTGATACAGACTAACATTCAAAAATCAAAGTTTGTAAATTAAAAATATGGTGGTCAAGGGGGATGAGACTGACAGAACTTCAGTGATTTTCAACCACAAAAAAGATTCACATTCATATAATACTGACAACCTTTATAAGAAAATAATGATAGATTACCCAAATAATTTTATATTCTGGGTTATTCCTACATTCATTATTCACTGAAAAATTAAAAAAAAAAGCCATTATTTACAATGTTTAAAAGCAAAGATTTTGTATTTGCAAAGATTTTGTGATGCAAAGATTTGTTAATATGTCTTAAAATCCATTAAGTCGCAACTGATAGAGTGAAACAGTCGTTTCTCATGTTGGAATTGAGAAAAAAATGTATATACATTTGCCTTTGGAGTGGTACCTTCACAGCGTAATACTGGAAACGGTTCGATAGGATTTGCTGCTACTTTCTACAAAACACTCTGTGGACTTGCTTCCAAGTAATGTGGGTTCCTAGGTTTTACAGAAGCTTTGGGTACTGGAGCAAATACAAGAAGCCAAAGTGAATCAACCTGTTCCAAGTCTGAGGACAAACCATCTTTATTCTACGACCTCCTACTAATTATGATGAATTAGGATTTGTTTACTTGCCAAGTACCCTAGCATCTGCATTACCTACTTGGAAGAATTCAGTGATATTGCTGAAAATTGGTTAAAAAAATTCATGAAAACGCAGAACATGCTTCCTCTGAACATCTAGCAAGTCACACATGTGGGGTCAAGGAAACCTTCATTTCAGTTCTAATATCAAAATTGCATTTTAATTTCATCTTCAAAACAGTTGAACTCTGCCAGCTTTTTATTGAAATTGCACTTTGTTATTTAGAGTAACTGGAGGTAACTGAGCTACTGAGAATTTCTTTGTACAGTTAAACTCTCACACACTGGCCAGATCATCCCTGGCTTATGGATGCATTTGAAGTTCACTGAATTACCAGTTTGATTCTGGATGTGCACATGATCAAGTATTTTATTCTGAATATTTTTACAATCAATTTCTGATGTTGTTATTGTGTAATAGTCAATGGAAGTGTCATTATAGTTACTCAGATTTATGGCATAAATTTTTTTAGAATAATGTTGCTGTTTATTCAGTCACTTTGCAGGAATTTGGTCAATAAGCTTCTGAACAAGTTAAATTTCTTTTATATAAGTGCTTTTATTCTAAAATAAAAGACTGTAGGTAAGAAATTTTGCTGTGTTTAATATCTCAAATATCTCAATTTTGCTTGTTTTAGTATCATTAACCTTTGAAGAATATATGTTAAAATTTTCAAAAGAATAGCATAACAACAAGTCAATTCTACAAAATCTCATCAGAATAAATCTGAATGCAATTATTTCTTTTTAGTGCTCCCATCACACACAGCCAAAAACTTTGCTGTTCACATATCTACCAAAGCTTTTTATTGTCAAAGGTTATTGTGCAGTACAAGGATTTTTCTTGTTCAGAAGCTCCATCCATGGTATATGTACAAAGGTCATCATTTTAGCCTGTTGTAAAAAGTCACATTTTCCACAGCTCACTCAAGCTAATGCTTCCTTCAGATCATAACATATTGAGAGCAGTGGAGTGTTGGAGTGTTAGTAATTACTCATTTTCATTTATTAGTAGTCTAGGTTTAATGAAACTAAATTACAATGTATGAATTTTCTCACAGAAATGTCAGGCAGTAAAAAAAAACCCAAGCTTATCCTTACCTGCAGAGAACCTACTGTTGCACCGGTCATATGGTTCCAGAATACCATTTTGCATTTGGGCCCAGTAAGGGAGATGACTGGGGTAGCAATGTCGGCAATCTGACCAAATTCTCCATTCGAGCTGTCTGCAAAGAGATACCAGCCTTCTTCAGTAAACCTGCACGGAGAAAAAGATCTTTTCTTTATTTAAAGAAAACATTTAATCCTAATTACATTCTGGCTATATCAAAATGGTAATACTTCTTTATATAGATACAACACCTTCTAGCTGAGTATCTTGATGCTTTATAATTAATCGGAATATTGCTAGAGTCCCCCAAAACCATTGAAATAGTACTTCCATATCACAGATATGCAAACCAAAACAGATCTGATGCTTGCCTTTACCCACTGTGTCATACTGCTGAGGGCTGGTTTGCTGTTGTTGTTGTTTTATTTGTGTTTATTTGCTTGCTTTCCTCAGGGAAATCAGAGACCTAGACACAACTGGGGCATACATGGATGTCCTCCTAGTTTACAGGCAGGAAACAGAAAGATATTGGGTGAAATTCTTTGTCCTGGGCTACTGGGGAAGATCTGGCTGTTTTTGCAGTTTATCAGTAGCCGGGAACTGTATACATCAGACTCTGAATGTCGGCGGAAGCACTGGGACTACAGTTTTAGTATTTTGGGTAGCTAGGATTTAGCTTCTAAAAAACTTGATTTTCAAAATAAAAAGCAGCTGCTGGTGAAAGAGAAAATTTTGCTTTCTTTAGTGGAGTTCCTACATACTCAGTACTTCTCGAAACAAAGAACCTTACCAGCAAGAGCTTACAAACTTGACTATAGGACCTATATTTTTTAAAATGTCCTTACCTGAGAAATTTATACCAGGATTTCCTGGCTTTTCAATTCATCCACTTGGCTAAATTCTGAGCAACAAGTCTGTAAAGTTGCACCATTGCAGTAGGAAGAAGGCAAAGACTACACACAGCAAGCATTGTCTGGAGAAATGTGGAGTGCGTGCAAGGTGTTCAGAGACTAGAAGACCTTCTGAATGGACAGTTAGGACTGCGATGGCACAGATTCAAAAACATACTTTTTCTTCACAATCCTAGTCTAAGTATTTATCACCTGTCCTTAAAGGACTGTGGTGCCTGTGCTTTAAGAACTTAGATGCAATCTTTGCTGCAGCAACCCTGGAATATTAAACAAATATTACAAAAGCTATTTTTTCAATAATCCAGTGAAGTCTCTTTGAAATCTCATAAGAAATTTTTTTCTTTAAAATATATTACAAATTAATAAAAAAACCCTCTTCACTAGTTATCTGACTCAGCCCCTCTCAGACTGCAGTGACTATATTGAATTCAACACATACTAACTTGAATGATAAAATACGTATGAAACTAGCACATACACATTTATCATTGTAAACTTATAACAGAACTAATAGATTATATTTACTGTATATAGTAACTTATTCAATAATCACAAAGCATATTAGTATATATTAATTTAGGCCTATTATGCACCTAGGTGGTGAAGGAGAGACTGAACTCCACTCTGAATTCAGTGACTTTAGGAATAGTACATTCTAACTACTACAGTATGTAAAGTAAAATAGATTAGAAACAGGGAATTTTGTCTCTGTACTCACAAAGGAGTTTCCTCTGAGGATCTGAAGCCCTTAATTAATTCACTCATCCTTAAGTCATGTATGCAGTTACTTGTTTCTAATATGACCCATGACAGATTGATAGACTGCAAACACCCTGGTAGCCCAGGGCACAGTGTTTCCACTCAGTATCCTCCTTATCATGTATAACCTACTGCTGGACACCAGCCTACTTTTAAATGAAAGACATCTTCCCTCATTTTCTCATTCTTGATGGTAAATAATGGCTAAAATTTAATTTTTTAGAAAAATTAAAAACTAGTAATAGCCGTTGACACAGCAAATGGCCCTTAAAAAATCCCTGCAAATCAGTGGTCATTCTTTTCTTGTTACACAAGACACTAACTACCCCACCTCAGAAGCAGGTCTCCCTCAAACCCCCGCCATCAGAAAAAAGGATGAAAAAGACAAATGTTATAGCCATATGAAACTAAAGAAAATGCTTTGGTAGTTGAAAATTGTAGTCAATTTTGGTAGTAGAAAACATTTTGGTACAGAAATCCCCAGGGTGTTTCCTTCAGAGGGCAGCATGCAGCACCAATAGTTTCTTGTCAGAAGAGAGGCAGTACGTTTACTAGTTAACCTGCAACAGTGCATTTTTCTGTAGTCATTACGCATTTGTAGGAGGTATCCCAAAACCTTATCTAGCATGCAAGAACGAGAGAAGTATTGTATTGTAGATGTTGGTAAAGATATGTGTGTAAAATCTCCACAAATGTAAAAAGGCGAAGGGGTAAATTATCTCCATAACTTCTCTTTAGCTAGAAGATAGGATTCTCAGTTCTAAAATATTAATATATTTGTACTTTAAACTTAAACTGAAGTCCTATAAAATGAAGGAATTTATGCAGGAAATGATGCATCATTTTGCAGGTAGTTTCTTACATGTTAATTGGAAGACATGAGGTATGCATGATTCACAGTTGAAAAATGAAGACTTTTACATAAAAATTCAGTAGTATGTGGGAAGGGTTGCCCATGCACATAGTCTTAGATGGAAATCAAATACTTGCAGGAGAGGTGTAGTCATGGTCAGAGTTAACATTTCTACTGCCCCCTATAAAGTATAACAAGCTATTCTGCAGAATTATAATCTTCTTTTTTTATAGCAGAAATTCCCAACAGTTTATAGTAACATTTTCTGTTAATAAACTACATACAAATAAATATTTTAAAGGAGGAAAAATATGTTTGAAAAATACATCTTAAAACGTGGAGCCAGACCTTCACCTGGTGTAGGTCAGAGAGTAACAAGCGAAGTCACTGGGGACTGTTTATAAAGCCAAAAGGTGTCAGTCTGGTGGTATTCAAGGGGGAAGAGCAATGATCTGAGGAAAATTGAATCTTCTCCACAACCTTGTTTTTCTTTTCATTCAGAAGCAGAAGAGAGAAGTGACCCTGAAGCTTTTCTTTTATCATTGTATCCTGGTGATTCACACATCTTTATAATTAATGCATATACTCACATCATCCTTGGGAGAGTAGCCTAAATATTTGGAAGTGAACTATTACAGAAAATAAGTGCAAAATAGAGTAAAATGTTAAGATGCTTAGGCAAAAATAATTTTAAACTAAAAAAGTATTTTTGTTAAAACAGCTTTTCCTAATTGGCTAAATGTAGTAAAAGTGATGATCCTTTGAAAATCACAGACATTGTTACACAGTGACAGTCACATAGTCATAGGCATTTCAAGTAACTCTCCATCAGTTTATTGCCCTCCTTTCTGCTGAAAAAGGCTGCTAATTCAAAACCGTAATTTTCAGTTTCTTTTTGTCCTTGGCTCTGAGTTTCCTGCCTGTGTCTTACTGGGATGTAAAAGAATACCACTTCTCTCAAGGTCTGCAAAAACATTTCAAAATTCACAATTTACTCTGCTACTGAGAACTCATGCCTTCAGTGGCCTAAGAGTGTCAGTGACATATTGAAAACAACATTCAAGAGGGCTAAGTAAAAACTAGGAAGCAGAATGATAACAAGGTCTGAAATGCAATAGCACTTACACCCCTCATACTTTCCATAAAATTCCATATTTAGTTCAGGCCTCCAGTGAGGTCAGTTTGAAGCAGCAGGTGGAGTACGATCAGCACTATGAGGAAATGCAGATATCCATTTCTTATTTGATATTCTGTTAGATCTATCTTTGTCCTGAAGGCAGACCAAAATCACATCACCCCATCTACGCATTTCTGGTCCCATATTGCATTCTGAGAAAGAAGACGCCACTGGGATTTGTCTTGCCCTTGTTTCACTGTTTGCCATAAGGTTACATTTAAAAATAGTAAACCTTATTAAGGTCCCGCGGCTGATACACTTGACTGAGTGCTACCCATTAAACAAAGGGGGAGAGTGTGGTTACAAGAACACTAAGGGAACGCGGGGAAAACCAGAAGGGGCTAGATAAATGCGTACAGCATACCTGTTTACATAACCTTCACTCCTATGATGGAAGTCCTTGCACTTATAATTGCAAGACTGAAATACTTTTGGTCTATCCATGCTGTTAAGAGGAAAGCTTTTTCTAGTGCAGGTAGCTGACATGAACTTGCTCACAGGGCGAAGCAATCTACCTGTCTTGAATTATTTCCGCTGGCTGGCATAGCAACCTGCTGGGAATTCAGAGGGCAATGTGCACCACTTCAGGGGGAAGAGCAATAAGAAATCATTCTGTTTACATATGATTGACATGCCAGAGGGCTTGTACCCTCCATGGATGTGTCTTTTGTAGCAGAGCCAGTTAATATACAAGCAATCCTCTGTTCAATCTGTCAAGCTGCCACTGTTAAAATATAAGATTTCTTTAGAAATAGCCAATATTTATTTTAAACTAGCTGGGTGTATGCTTCCAAAAAAGCACTCCTCACCTCATTTTGTACTTTCTTTATTTTTTTTTCAAATGAAACCTCAAGAAGTCAATGGGAATAACTGCTGAACAAGATATTTTTCAACATGGGTAAGAGGGAGCAAACCTGGCCTTGCATATAGTGCTTATGTAAGGCCTGAAATTCAGAATCACGTGCAAGCTCCCCTTTCAGCAAGGAAAGCTGGAAGATCCCAGGCTCGTTTGGAAAATTAGCCCATGGAAAGCCTTTAAAACATTGGCAGTCACAGTACATGTCATTAAAATGTTGATATTTACCCTTTGAAAGTAATTAATTTTACTTCAGTACTGCAAGCATTCCCTATATACAGAAATTCCTATAACACTGCAGTAACCCTAATTAATTTCAAAGGGTAAACGTCAGCATTTTAATGATTTAAAATTTCAGCACAGATTTCAGCGTAAGCAACTGGGCTGCATTTTCAAACTATGATTTTGTTATACATAAAACAGAATATTACAAGTGGCTTTTAATACGCCGTTAGCTAAGAATGGGCATATATAAAAGTATCCTAGCTGTATTTCTCCACTCAAGCATTCAGGAGAGCATAAAGGAACTGACTACAGTAACGGGAAATTAGTACTGAGGGAAAGATTTGATTTAATTTAGTGATGGACATC